CCGAGCTGGCATTCGCAACCCGTACGACCACTAATCGGTCAACGGGTCTCACTCCTGCTCAATTGAATTTCGGCAAGGAGCTTGCGTTTCCGCTTTTTAACAGTCTCCTTTCTACAGAGTCTGGGGGAAGGCTTCGCCCCTACGTGAAGTTCGCAGAAGACCTGCGACAGCGCTTCTCCGATAACCTTCGAGAGGCCCGAGAAAATCTCGACGTCGCCCGAGTACAGCAGGCAGAACAGTGCAACCAGGGGCGACGTGACTTGCAGTTCGAGGTGGGAGGTTTTGTACTCCGGCGAACTCACCCACTGAGTGACGCCGCTCGAGGCTTCGCAGCCTCCCTCGCCAACAGGTGGGAAGGTCCGTTTCGCGTGCGTGAAAAGTGCTCACCACTCACTTACAAACTAGTTAACTGTGAGACTAGTGAGGAAACCGGACCTGTTCATGTCACCGACCTTAAACGATTTTTCCAAGCAGAAGACAAAGATTCCTCGCAGGACCGGAACGACACTGACGGCAGTCCCGTTCCGGAAACCCCCTTGTCTCCACCAAGGCGGCGGTATAACATGCGACGTCGGTGACACCAAAGAGAGAGGAACCTTTTTTTTTGTCTCCTTGGCTTTGCCTCTCTCGCATTTTGGGGGTAGTTTTCTACTTCCACGGATCTGCCCCTTTTTCAAGAGAGGGGGGAGAAGATTGTGTGCCCACCTCAGATCCGTTATTTCAAACTTTCTGAAAGGGGTCCGAAGATAACGTCAGGCTCAGCCCTCAACTGAGTCCCATGTCGTCTGCTTCCATGTTGTCTACGAAGCTGACTCATGGACAAAACCGTCGCCACACCCGCCATCTGAACGACACGGCGGCCGGTCTCATCGTGGACCGCGGCCACCCTCTACAGGACGGAGCAGCAGCTGGCTAGGATCAAGGACCACGTGCAAAGCAGCCACCTGGTGGAGCCCTGATCCCGAACAAGCGACAAGCTGGAGCTGACCGAGCCGCCGCGCTCGTCAGCAGCCGCCGCGCTCGTCCAGCAGGCGCCGGTCGGACCTACAACGTCAGTCCGCCCAACAGCGCCATCCACCCCCTGACGCCCACAACGTCTCCGTCATCGACATGCCGGACGAAGCTTGAGGGGGGGAAGTGTGGGCACCCTGGCGGCTCCCAAGCCAAGTTGCCCGACTGCGAGGCTCAAGCCGAACTTTTCCCGCGTGGCGGCGACGTCACGCCAGCCACGCGCACATCGGATGCGCCGCCTTGATAAGGCAGATCAGAGGCGGCGCACGGAGAGTCGCTGCCTGGACTCAGGCGCCGCTGGTAACCATGTTAATCGTCTCGTCCATGTCCCATTAAATTTAGTTTCTTGTTGTTGAAACCGTTGGCTCCGTGTTGTTCCTCCGGGTCGGGTATGCAGCAAGGCAAACCGACCACACTCTTCAGGGAAAAGGGTTTCGAGGCGGTCGAGTCAAACACCCGGACGGTACGCCTGACTCTCAAGGACGGTTGTACCGTCGACAGCCTCACCCACGGAATTCGTCTGGAAGGCTGCAAGGTCCTCGTCGTTGTGCCAGGACGGGCCCTACTGTGTCTCAGGTGCAGGCGTACGGGCCACATCCGGCGAGATTGCCGCGTCCCTCGCTGTACGGAATGCCACCGGTACGGCCACGCAGCAGAAGACTGCGTCAAAACCTACGCGTCTATCGCCCGTGACCGCAAGTCGGAGGACAACACCGACTACGTCATGGACGACGCGGAGGCAGAGGAAGCCGTCGGAGGGTCATCGCCCGTCACCCTGCCATCGACGGAGCCTAGTGGTACGCCCACGCCCAACAACGACGGCAACCCTGACGCAGCGTCCTTCGTGCGCAACCCCGAGGAGAAACCCGAAGCGCAAGTCACGCCCAGCGACGACACTAAGGAGCGCCTGCCCCATGAGCCAGCACTTTCCGGATGCGGTCCATCAACAACGAAGCCCGGCCATCCCGGGGGGCCAAACAGCGAGGCCGGAGTGGAAGAGTGCCAGGACACAGACATGGACTCTACTCTCAAGCGACCGAGGGACCCTGCGCCAGCACCAGCTGCAACCGCCGGAATGGCCGCCAGCGGGTTGCCTGTGCCAGGAATCAAGAAGTTCCGGGTCGTGGCGAAACCGCGTGTCCCGCCGGACGATCGTCGCAGAAATTACTCCCTGTGAATCTTTTTGAGCCTAACCGGCAGTGCAAGTGTGAACCGTACTTTTTTGTTTCCTTCGGCATTTTCTTGCGCGAGCGCCATTCTTTTTTTGCGAGCCTACCTTGTTCTCCGCCTAGCCTCCTTTTCAAGCATTCATGAACCTTGAACGATCTTTACGGGTGGGCACGCTAAACGTGCGCGGCTTTTGTGCCAGGCGTCGCCAATACCAGGTAAACCGCTTGTTTATTGAGAATGACCTGGACATAGTCGCGGTCCAGGAGACGAAAATGGAAGGCGAGGCTCAGACGGAGAACATGGTACGACTTTTTGAAACGAGGTATGACGTGTGCGTCAGCCACGCTAGGGGGGCGTCAGGAGGTTGTCTTTTATTTCTAAAGAAATCTATCGGAACCGTCGAACAAGTCGTTAGTAGTGATTCGGGGCGCTTTGTCTTGTGCGATTTTATTTTTTCCAACTACAAATTCCGTGTGGTGTGCATCTATGCCCCTATTAAGACGGAGGAACGTTTATTTTTTATTTTTTTTTCGAATTTATTGAAAGGTACGTTCAAACTGATCGGTTAGTTATATTATTGGGCGATTTTCATTGTGTGTGCGCGCCGCAGGATAGGTCAAATAGCGTGAGGTTTCGGGGCGCGAGCACCGTGTTTTTGTGCGACATGCTTCTGCGGTTCGATTTGGAAGACGTTCCGCACTGCGAGTCCCGCGGTAGGGGTTGAAAGTACACGCATTTCCAGGGTGCAAGTCACGCACGCTTGGATAGAGCGTATGTCTCCCTCAACCTTGTAAGAGCGTGCACGCAATACGCCGTTGATCACGTGTCGTTCAGTGATCATTGCCTTGTTTCTTTTTTAATTTGTTCCTCCAAAGATACGCCTAAAAGTTCACGTGGGACTTGTGGAAATTTAATTCTAAACTTCTTGAAGACGAGCCTTTTGTACAAGCGGTCCGAAAAAATCTTGAAGACTCAGCGAGCGCAAAAGGGCAAGGATTCGGAGTAAAATGGGAGTTGTTTAAACAGGAAATAAAATTGACTTCCATCGAGCGCTCCGGCTTATTGAAGCATAACGAAAAGAAAGAATCGCGCGAGTTAAACAGCCTTCTTTAAAGGCTGATGTTGGAAGAATGCCTATCGCCAGGTTTTTTTTTGGGAGGAAATTATCAGCATCAAAAAGCGCCTCGAAATTCTTGATACCGAAGAATACAAGGGGGCCATGCTGCGAGCGCGATGGAACCGGTTATCGCTTGGGGAGCTACCCACGAAAAGGGCGATAGGCGCGGAACGAAAGTATGCTAGTCAAAATGAAATCACGGAAATTTCGTATCAAGGGGTTCTGACGAGCGATAACGTGAACATACAATGCGCGTTTGTTGAGTACTATAAAGAATTGTTCAGCTATCGTGAGCCTAAAAAGAACGCTTTAAATGCGCTCTGCATCGGTGAAAAATACGTACTCTTTTTAAGCGGTGTTGTCAACAATTGACGTAATAACGAATTAGAGTCTTCAGTCGCCTCAGACCATGTCGAGGAGGAGTCATCCCGAAAAGGTGCTTCACAAACGTGATGAGCCATCGGCGGACTAAATGCCGATTGAAGCGATGGTGGACGAAATTCAGAGTGAAGCGATGGTGGATGAAGATGTGTCGGCATCGTCTGCCGATGGTCATTTGGTAATACAGGATGAGTGGCGGGTACCGCCACCGCCGTCACTTGTACTTGTCCCTGATGCCACGTGAACGGGGCGTACACTTGATCGTATTGCCGTAGCGCCGACATTGACGAGGGCAGAAATCGCACAGGATGTGGTGCCACTAGCGCCTCTTGACCATGCACCCACGTCGCCGGCAGTGGCAATGTTGGAAGTACAGTCTGTGGCGCCGGTAGTGGCAATGTTGGAAGCACAGTCTGTGGCACCGACACTGGCACTGTTGGAAAGACAGTCTGTGGCGCCGGCACTGGCGATCTTGTATGCACAGTCTGTGGCATCGACACTGGCACTGTTGGAAAGACAGTCTGTGGCGCCGGCACTGGCGATGTTGTATGCAGAGTCTGTGGCACCGACACTGGCACTGTTGGAAAGACAGTCTGTGGCACCGACACTGGCACTCTTGGAAAGACAGTCTGTGGCGCCGGCACTGGCGATCTTGTATGCACAGTCTGTGGCGCCGACACTGGCACTGTTGGGAAGACAGTCTGTGGCGCCGACAGTGGCAATGTTGGATGCAGAGTCTGTGGCACCGGCACTGGCAATGTTGGATGCACAGTCTGTGGCGCCGACACTGGCGATGTTGGATGCAGAGTCTGTGGCGCCGACACTGGCGATGTTGGATGCAGAGTCTGTGGCGCCGGCACTGACGATGTTGTATGTACAGTCTGTGACACCAGCACTAATGGAAGCACAGTCTCTGGCGCCGGCACCGGCGATGTTGGATGCACAGTCTCTGGTGACGGCGGCAGTATGAGCTGCGACGGCGACGTCCTGAACTGTGATGGAGAAAATGCGAGCTCGAGCCGCGGTGTTGATGGTGATGAAGTTGGAGAGTCTGGATGTGGCAGCTCGGACTCAAGCTCTTGCAGGAGCGGTTCGGCGTTGGGCGATGCCTCCGGCACGATCGGAGGCTCGGGTGAAGGGGTAATACTTCCGAGTTGACCGTGGAAGGAGATACCGCCAGTCCGGTTAACGATGAACACTCCGACTCTGACAGCCACGGACTCTCTGGTAGTGGCGTTGACGGCGGCACGATGGGAGGCTCGGGTGAAGGAGGTAATAATTCCGAGTTGACCGTGGAAGAAGATACCGCCGGTCCGGTTAACTATGAACACTCCGACTCTGACAGCCACGGACTCTCTGGTAGTGGCGTTGACGGCGGCACGATCGGAGGCTCGGGTGAAGGAGGTAATAATTCCGAGTTGACCGTGGAAGAAGATACCGCCGGTCCGGTTAACGATGAACACTCCGACTCTGACAGCCACGGACTTCCCGGTAGTGGCGTTGACGGCTCGTCCGACCAGAACGGACTTTTACGTTTTTGGGCTTCGACCATTTCGTCGTCCGTCGAATCCGATAGAATTTGTCTCCGACGTTTCAAAATGGGCCTAATTACAGAATGTGAAGATGATGTCGATGAAGATCCGTTCTGGTCGTCATCCGAGTCGATATCGATAATTTCTTTTTCGGAATCGTATGCACGTTTCTTTGGTATCGTTCCGCTGTCAGAATCGGAGTCTAGACAATTCTTCCGTTTTTTTAAAGAAGAGGTATACCGTACGATTTGTTCTTCCTCGCTATCCGAAGAATAAATTTTGGATTTTGGCACTTGTGCGTTCTTTAATACCATCTTGGTCGCAATATCCAATTCGTCATCGTCCGAATGAGAGTCTTCGTTGCCAGACTGTAAGCTTTCACAGTTTTTCGCGGAGCCCGGGCTACTAATCGAGTCGTCCTCGATCCCTTCAAACACCTCCTGGCTAGACAACGTGGCAAATACCAATCGCTGCTCGTCGCCGGTAGACGTCGACTCAGCAACAGGTTGCTGGAAGCGAATCGTGGTCCGAACCGCGTCCATGAGAGAAGCGTTTTTGAAAAACCTGCTCGGCATCATGGTATCGGCCACGTTCATCGACGTGGCCAGGAGGGTCGGACATTGCTTCGACCATAGGTCGAGCTATTCCTCGGTCAGCACCTCGTCGTGCCTCGTACTGAAATAGATGAAGAGACCGAGGACGAATGGCCACAGAGTGGTCACATCGAAATATTTCCTCACAAATGCTTTGACGGTCGCCTCGTCTTCGAAATTGCACAGGTGCAGAACGAAGACGCGGCGACTAGACTTTTGAGAAGTTTTGGTCACTACTTTGGTATATTCGGTCACGCAGGAGAAACCGAGAAAGGTTTTCAAAGCCTTAATGTTTTTTGGAGTTTTAAGAGTATCATAATTATCCAGGCGACCGTAATTCAGGTCCTCGTGCGACGCCATGTTATGACGTACTAGTACGGATGAACATGTGGCGGCAGCGTTACAATTGAATGGTCGCACGAGGTCCGATATTAAATTATAAAAGGCCGCCAGGATAGATTCGTTTGTAGACTCGACAATGAGGCGACAATCCCACACCCGCCGTTTTTCAATGATAATATACAATACATAAAAAAATAAAGATGTCATCAATTCCGATGTCTCCCGAGCGACAGACTCGTACTCCGTGGAATAAAAAAGTCCTCTAGAGAAGTCTGCAACATCAAAGTCCCCAGTTGATAGGCCGACACCGGAGATGTAAAACCATGGATCGGCCAAAATGCTCGGATACTGTACGAGTTGCGCCAATTTAGATTTTTTTCTATCCGTCATTTTCCGAATTTCAATATTTGCAATTGCATTCACGCATTGACTAAATTCCGACGAATAAAAAAAACAACAGATTTATACACCAATGTTTTAATGGATTCGCAAATGTAATTTACCATGAGGGCCCTATCCTTTTGAGTATTAATACTTAAGCCGATGAACTCGTCGAGTTCTCGACGCATCGTCAACGACGTTAGCGCTGGTAAGAAGAAATATTCCAGGAGCATGATCTTATGATTTTTATCTTTGGTATCGTGACGGAACGTGTAGCTATAAGGGTAAAATACTTTACCCTTATAGCCGTTAAACATATTTAAAACAACGTGGGCGCGATTGTATTCATACGCTTGATAGTGAGTGAGCACAAAGGGTTGCACCACGTGTTTAGGTTTTACACGTCCGCCACGATAAAATACCAAATTCTCGCTGGAGTCTCCGTCCACGGGCAGCCAAACGGAATAGGGGACCGACGCTATGGAATCCTCGAGAAGCTTTAACAATTCCTTCGTTACATGTCTCTCGCTCAGGATGCGGGCCACCTCTTCGTTAAGGTAATCGATGAATGAATGCCTTAAAGAATCAACGGGAGAATTGTCCAGATTAGCTATGGACCACATGGCGAAATGAATTAATAAAATGATAAGAGGAGGAGATGGTTTCACCGGTACCGTTAGGACGTCGTAGTCTTGCGGCATCTCCTTCCACGTCCTCGGAACGACGCCGGGAGTAAATTTAACTTTGTCCTTAGTCATTTTCTTCCGTTTTAAACTTTCAAATACTTTCATGCTGGTCGAGGCTGGTATGGTCGAATGATTGAAGGTAGATTTCACCGTCGTCTTGAGGTGATGGCCCGGAGCTTCTCGGCGTGCCGACGGCATTGGAAATCGCCTGGATTCCATGTCCAATAGAATCTGCGCAAAAGGCAAGTGGTGTCTGCCAGTGTAGTAGTCGTGTCGTTGATGTGGGGGAGAGGGCAGGGTTAGCTTTGCTGTGTAACCAGTCGCCAGTTTTATACCTCACTAACACCCCGCCTCTCATAGCCCACGTGACTCTCTGGGGGATGAGGTATCAGTAGCATTGACGTCAAAAACCACTTGAATAACAGCCGACCTTGGATATAGGCCTCGTTTCCACCTCGCGTAAGCGCTCGACATCTGACCTTGGCGATAAGACTCGCGTGAATATAAGATCAGTTCCACGAACACTCGACACCCGACCTTGAAGATAAGCTAATTTCTAAAGAACATTTTGAGACGAAACTTACAGTGTCCTGCTGGCTTGCTGATACGACTACCACGAAAATGTTCTCCTTTATATAATCCCTTCTATGAGTCACTTTGTTTAAGCTTAAATTGAAACTACTTCCTATCCATTGTCTTGTCAACTTTTCAACTTTCCCGTTCATTACCACCACCCTTAGCAACACTACGGTTCAACACTCTTCATACTAAAGGTCAAAACTATTAAGGGGGTGTTTTGTTTCTACCTCAATTTTGTCTTCAAAGTTTCTTTTGATTACCGTCCCCCATGCAACACGAAGGTTAAACGCTCTTAGTCACAAAGGGCAAATGCCTCAGACTGTCCACGTTCCTCCCATGCAGCTATCAGCCTGTAGCAACAGCGCTCTTAATAACAAAGGTCAAAAACCATGCACGAGTGTTGGTTTGGTTCTCCCTCCAGTTAGAATTCCTCTCATCGAAAGCCGAAATATGCGTATATCTTTTGTGCAATGTCGGATCACCGAGGTCACCTATATGGGTTGTAACGCCCCCTTTAATAAGTATATATATATATTGCGAGTAGTGTTACGACTACTACCGAAGACAAAGAAAGATAGAGGACGTAATTGCGAGGTTCCGCACTTTCGAGGGTTGCCAAATGCAATACCCCACACCTAGGTGTATGGCATTTGCCGGCTTCCGTCGCGTCCTCGGGATAAATTTCTGCCAACATTGCAACCTCGTTGTGACAGACGAATACCTGAGACTCGCAAACTCCGACGCCTCGGCATTGGGAATGTGGATGCATCCACATAAACTCCACGCCGCCGCATCTCCAGACTGCGAATTTATCAAGACCTATCGAGACCCACGGCTGTTTGTGGATTTCGACCCACCAGTGTACGCGTCACCAGTCCACCCCGCCATGTGCAACTTTATGGACAGAATGACGTCATTTGGAAGATATTCGCAGTACTACAAAGAGTTGGCAAGCGCCGGATTCTTTATGAGACAATGCGAGACAGCCGAAGGAGACGTCACCTGCTTTTATTGCGGAATGCACGCGTGGAATGGGAAACTTCAACGAGGAAGAAGACCCCTGGGTGCTTCACGCTCGGCACTCGCCGCACTGCTATGTCCTCCGAATGCTCAAGAGCGACGATTTCATCCGAAAGACTGTGACGGAGTATAGATTGAGTGAACGATTCTGGGCACTGGCGCTCCCCGAGGTGAAGAGTCTCTTGATCGAGCGAACGACTCGTTCCAAGGCACTGGACTATCTCAGAATGTATTGCAACCTGTCGCGGCCGGACAACGTGAGGGACTTTGTGGCTTCAATCTTGGACAAGGGATACAACGACTTCCGAGTGCCCGCCAGACTATTGAAGCCTGTGTTAATCGCTCCGCCGTGCGTCCCTCCGGTTGACGGAAGAGAAGACGTTAACGCTCCCGACGAATAATAATAAATCGCAATTAAACAAATTATGGTCCAAGTTTCTTTTCCAATCTGGTCCAGACTAGAAGTGGTCTGTCGACCCGTTTAAAGAGTTCTTCGATAGAGTGGGGATGCGAGAGAACGAAATGTAGAAATTTACGTTCTTCTGCATCGGCGTACACGTAGGGGTTGGTGCGAATGGACTCGAGTTTGTTTTTTTACGCGGAGTAGCCAACCGACGCCTATATCTTCTCGCCAGCCATCGTGTAGCGTCTTCAACTTTATGATTAGGGAACGAAAGTCAAAGTGGCCGTGCACGGCAACGAACCGATTAAAGTTGCGAACAGTTGCCTCGTAGTCTGACGAATTGAGGAGATAGTCCCACAAGCGCTGCGCCATCGGCACGGTTCGCACAAATTTTTCGTAAAACGTAGACTTTGCGTACTGTTTCTCGACGTTTAGCATGTAATGGAGGTCACGGAGCCAGTCTCTGTCGTCGTCGCAGCGTGTCTGCGAACGTCTGGCGGCGGTCTCGTACTCCTCGACCTCGTACACGCTGGATGCGCCACCGCCGTGTCGCATAATGGCCTCGAGTGGCGAGAGCCTCGTTGCTTCCACAATAACCACTCGAACGCGATGCGACATGGGCGTTTTCGTGATCAGGGTCTCGATATGACAGGCGTTGTCGCGCAAAATACACAGGGCCGCGTAAACGCGCATCGTAAAGTTTACCCACTGCGTTCCCTCGTTGCGGTAGTATCTTAGCGCCTCGGGTAGCACGCGAGTCCAGTCGGTCGTGACCAAAGACGCGTAGCGAACAAAGTCTTGTAGACTCCTCTTATCGCCGCGAACCCAGAACCACACTCTGACTAGGGCTGGGTTCGTCTTTTCGTAGAGGAGATGCGAATAAAGGTAACCCAGCACCCGCTCGCTACCGTGTACATTTTCGGGACGCATCATGCGAAACACTTCCATCGAGGGACTAGTCCCGATCGGCGGATCATTGTCCTTGAGAAACTCGTACACGTCGATGGGCACGTCCCCGCTCGAAAACGCCTTTCCCGTGGTGGAATAGACGAGTTTCCCGTAAAGTCTAAACACTACGTCCGCCTCGTAGTCGTGCTTCCTCAGGAGCTCGGCTGCCACCAGTTCTCGCCACAAGTGCTTGCCCACCCAGGTGTTTGCGGCGCGCGCAATCGCACGCAGCACAACGTCGGAGGCCTCGTTCCCGGCCGATACTCTGCCTTCGCGCCTCTCCAGAAAACCAAACACGTCCGCGTGCTTGTCCAAGAGCCGCTCGGCTATCGCGGTAGTCTTTTCGATCACGGTGGTCCACCGATCCATGTCGTGAAACACCGACCCGTAATCCAAATTGTCTTTTGAAGAAGAAGTTTCTCTAAATACGGAGCTCATTGCGTCTTCTTCAGTTTCGGCGTCGCACACGAGCTCAAACAGTTGCACCGTCGCGTCTCCGTGTGCGAGTTTGGCCGCGAGGCTCGGATGGACGCGCTCGCTCCAGTCTGTTCCCGGGATCCGTTCGCGAGGCATCCGCCTGACTCTCTTGATCAGGCCGGCCCAATCCAGCCTGTACTTTTCAA